AAAGAAACCAAATAGAGTAATACTAGGGAAACCAACTAACCAAAGTTTGTAAACCAACAAGACATGATTATTGATGATTGAAATATTACTTAATTGTTGATTAACGTGCTTATTTCTAATTGGTGGAGTTCAAATATTTTGTAACCAAAACCCTATGCCTCTTTGTGACCTATCTTATTTGTTGACACTTGACTCTTCATTTAAACCTCACTTAACAATATTGACTTTTCAACTTATTTCCTCAATTAAAAAAAAAAAAAACTAGTGATAAATTAAGCCAAAGGAGATGTGCCACTCAAATAGATAGGGCACAAAGAGACCACACAAAAATTTGGGTGCATAAGATTTAAACTCCTATTGATTACACATCACATAGTTTGCATATTTGGTCTAAAATTTTGGTCTACCTATGACTACTCAACCAAATAGGTTGTGTGACATCCCACATCGCCCAGGGGAATGATCCTTAAATATATATTCTCATCTCTACCTAGCACGAGGCCTTTTGGGAGCTCACTGGCTTCGGGTTCCGTAGGAACTCCGAAGTTAAGCGAGAAGGAGGCTTGAGCAATCCCATGATGGGTGACCCACTGGGAAGTTGCTCGTGAGTTCCCAAAAACAAAACCGTGAGGGAATGGTAAGCCCAAAGTGGACAATATTGTGCTATGGTGGTGGAGTCGGGCCCGGGAAGTGATCTGCCCCGAGCCGGGATGTGACAAGGGATGTGACAATTTGGTATCAGAGCCTAACCCTGGCCGCGTGTGTGCCGACGAGGATGTTGGACCCCTAAGGGGGGTGGATTGTGACATCCCACATCGCCCAGGGGAATAATCCTTAAATATATATTCCCATCTCTACCTAGCATGAGGCCTTTTGGGAGCTCACTGGCTTCGGGTTCCGTAGGAACTCCGAAGTTAAGCGAGAAGGAGGCTTGAGCAATTCCATGATGGGTGACCCACTGGGAAGTTGCTCGTGAGTTCCCAAAAACAAAACCGTGAGGGAATGGTAAGCCCAAAGCGGGCAATATCGTGCTACGGTGGTAGAGCGGGCTCGGAAAATGGTCCGCCTCGGGCCGGGATGTGACAGGTTGTGTTTATTGTAGTCCTACTATTAATCAAATTAAAAATAATTTGGCATCAACCTCTCTTGCTATCATTTTTTAGGCTGGAAGCAACTCCTTCAATCCAAGTCAACATTTGGCTCGTCGGTTAGAGCCACTTTTACTACTAAAAATGTCTGTTTTTGTCTATTTGACAGTTTTGACATCTTCTTTGAAGATAAAAGTCATTTCTATGACAACCCAAACACAATCAAAATGCGTTTTTGATGTACACATTTTTTTTGGCACTTTTGAATCCCCAAGGGTGGGTTTGTTTGCCCTCACTAGCTTTCATTGGACTGAACTGGATTAAGTGCTAGTCCAATCTCTTGTTTGTTAACTGCATTGACTAAGTTTAATGAGACAAAGTGGGACTCGAATGGGCTAAACGCTTCGTTAGCTGTTCTTAGGGAGACTTGTCGAAGCAGAGCGAACTACTAAGACCGCTTCGTCCCTCCTCACTTCGACCATCCCATCTGCTTCATTTTCCTCACTTTGCCCTTCCCATCTGCTTCATCTTCCTCGCTTCACCCATCCCACTGAGCGCGTCTCGAGTTTTTTGCCATTCGGAGTAAACCCAAGTACCACAACCCAATAGTCCTCAACGTTGAAGATCAGCAGTAGCGGCAGCGGCTTTGCTCTCAATGTTGAAGCTCGTCGTCACCGTCTAATCTCTCCTCCATTCCTATTCATCTGCGAGTTGTCCATTTCATCAGTTTTCATTTTCGAATCCAGGGTTTCGTTATTATGCTTGAGATTTTTTAGATTCGTTTATAATATACCAGAGCCCATCGAGGGGGCATGAATCCCAGAGAGGTTGATGCACTGACAGTGCCCCCATTTTCTCCCAAAACAAGAAAAAGAAAGTCCACAAAATAAGAATTAAAACTTTAATTAATCTAAAAAGATGAAAAATTTCACCCATTTATTATCTTCTTCTTTCCTTGCAAAACTTCAACTTTGTTCAGTCACCAACTTCAGTTTTTGTCCAGCTATCGAAATCTTCTGCAGGTTAGTTAGGATAAAAATATTTGCTTAAAAGCTCCAATCTTTGTTTATCCAAATGCATTTTGTCCAGCGAATTATGTTTCTTAATTATATGTATGTATATTATGTTTGGTTTCTAAGAAAATAAGAGATCATAAACTTGATTATTTGGATTCCAGGTTGATGTTTTGGCTAATTGCATTCTACGTATTAATGTTGAAGATATAAGGAAAATAGGTAATTTAATTGGAAGCCTAGGAATTGAACTAGAATTAGAAGTTAGTCCAGCTTTTTAGTCCGACACTACACCAAACGTTTTACTAAGTTAGTTTAATTTAGTCTAATCTAAGTCAGTCTAGCTTAATCCCTGAAGCTAGTCCAGTCGGAGATAATTTGATGCAACAAACGCACCCCAAATGTCTATCGTAGCAAAACTCTAGTCAAATTTGAGTGATTATGATGTAGATCTTGTTTGGTAGATTAAGGCTCCAATTGCATGATGAATTAGTACTTGCAAAACTAGTGAGGGAAAATTAGATTTTTATCTCTTGCAACTTGACACCTCCTATTTGGATTAAGCCAGCAACTTATGCAAGCAACCTAAAACTAACACCATTCGGTACCTTGCTGAGGCTTTTCGCACAGCACAAACTACAATCTGTGCTCTTTCCGGACAACAATCTTAGGCTGCGACGGTTCCAACCCCATCGTTTCCATTCTTGCCATGCTCTTTGGTTCTTTTCTCCAGAAATTATACATTTTTCATTTGTTCAGAAACACAATTAATTGAAAGTTTAATCGAAGCAATTGGGGTTGCAAAAAATTGCAATGTACTTTGTCGGATTGCCATCATTTTTGTGATGCTTGAATCTGAGTCCTGTTACGAACTTTCGAATCTGAGTCCTGTCGTTTTGAGCATATAATGTGGTGTAGGTAGTGCTTTATGCCAACAAAGTCCATGGTTCCAACCAGGAATTTCTTGAGAAATCTCTGGTAATCTCTTACCTACAAGTATCTCCATTGAAAGAGGATATTCGCCAAAAAAATAGTGGATCAAGGAACCTGATTAACTTTTCCGTGTTACGCAAGTTTAAACACAATTTTTCGGAATCTCCTAAACATGCTGCATAAAACATTTACAAAGAAGTTACCATCCCAATGAGAAATCAATTGCTCTATGCGCTGCATCTATGCCCTCCTCTTTATCAGGTACATGCTCATACCATTTGACATCCAATGAATCCATTAAAAATAAGAAAAACCTAAGTTACATTTTCTTCGTTTTCTTTAACATACAGCATAACGATTACTGTTTGAGTTAGGAAGTATAATCATACAGAGAAATGAGGGTACCTTGAAAAATTGCTGGTAATTATGATAAGTGGCAGCATGAGACAGGAGGAGTTGTGCGCAACAATGTACAGTTCAGCAGATGAATTTCCCTTCTTACAAAATACATGACATAGAGGCTCGTTGGAGCGCGTTACCATGAGGCTCGTCGAAGGTGATCCAGTTCTTGAAGTTGTCGCCAAAAGTTTTGAAGCAGGTGAAGGCATAATGTTCGAAGTCTTTTCTGTATGTGAGTGAGGTAATGTCAAGTTTTTTTAGTATTTTACTTTTCTGCAGCTGTTTGATAATTACACTATCTTTGCGCCCAACCACCCTTCATATCTGCATGCAAGCGTTGGCGGAAGATCCCGGTGTTTTTAAAGTTACAAAAAAAGGTTTGATCCCTGATGGAAAAAAAAGGAGTAAATTGTACTAATGTTCTCTTAACTTTAATTTAATTGGAACAACGGTCACTCAACTAAAAATACATTACAATTGGTTTCTTAACTCATCAAAACGTACAGCTATGATCCCTCAACTAAAAATTCATTACCATTGGTCCCTCAACTTTAATCCAACTGGAGAAATGGTCCCTCAACTGTAATCTATTTGGAGCAATGGTCCCTCAACTTTAATCCATTTGGAGCAATGATCATTTCAACATTACTCATTTTTGACAAAATTATGATGAAGTTAACGAAAATGATCATAACACACATTTTGATAAGTTGAGAAACCCCAATTATAGCAATGGTCCTTCCAATCGAACTTATTTTGACAAAATTCTGACGAAGTTGACGAAAATGACCATAGCTACACATCTTGATGAGTTGAGAGATCAATGTTAATGGATTTTAAGTTGAACGACCATTGCTACAATTTACTTGAAAAAAATAGTTTGCCTTCAATAATGTTGTACTCAAGAAAATTTTATTTTCTAAGAGTCTGTTATGCATTTAAATGGCGTTATAAAAGCCAAATTATATTCTTGTAATAAAATAAATTTGTTGTTTTGGGAAGAAACAGCTAGGGGTGTCCTATGATTGAAACTCATTAAACGTCGTCGAAACGTGAGAGTGATCAATTAGATAGAATAGTGTGGCTAAATGTTGAACCTAAATGCAAAATCCCAAAACTCGAATATAGAATAAAGAGGAAATATTTCTTAACCATTAGAATTATAAAAAATGCTAGAAGAAGATTCTCGAATGTCCACTCTAGTCATATGATATTGTTTGAGGTTCGTAACTAGACAAATGGAAGAGATTGGAGAGCTGGTTGGTGAAGTTGGCAAGCTCAAAACATAACAAAATTTACTATTTAGTACTACGATTTAATGGTATTCTTTTTTATTTGTAAGATGAAAAGACAAATGGGTCGATCAGATCGTACTGGATTCTTAAACCCAAGTCCGACTTTGAAGTGGTTGTTGCTTGTTGGGCTCACTCTTCGGCCTGAAATTTGTATAGCTGTTGGACGAAAATATCCATATCCAATTTAACCATTTTTAGACCGTTACTCATTAGAAACGGAGGCCAATATCGTAACTTCGCCAACCAGCTCCCCAATCTTCCTCAACCTCTCTCTAGAAAGCCAACATCGCGGATTTAGCTAAAAGGGTTTTAGGCTATTTTGCAGCATAAACCCTCGAACGCAAAGACAATGGCTTTGACATTGAGAGCAGCGGCGGCCGCCGCGGCGGGGTCCACTCGCGGCTTGAGTCGGCTCTTCTCAACAAGTTTCATTCCCCCAATGAACTCTGCAACGCCCTCGGCTCGAGAGCAGGCTGAGCCGAGCACCAACCTCTTCGTCTCCGGTATCTCCCTCTCTTCCCCCTTTTCCCGTTTTCCCCCACATTTCCTTCATATTTACCTATATATCTCTTATGGGTCGTCCGTTTTTTGGTCTATTTTTCTTTAATATGTAAAAAGCTCGCATCTTTGTGCCGCTTATTCAGTGATTTTGGAGTTTATGAGTTTGTGGTTGCTGAGAAAATGCAGAAATAATTACAGGAAATCATAACCTTTTTGTTTTGTTTAGTATTTGCTTATTACTTGCAACCTAGAAACTGAACGTCCCCGCTTATTTTATTGGTTTGCTTACTTCTACAGTTTCCCATTTTGTTTTTAGTTACAGAAACCCTAATTAGTTACAGACTGTTGTTTTTCAATTTTCCTTTTTTTTTTCTTTTGTTCTTTTTTTTTTTTTTGACAAACCAAACAGAGTGTTGCAGGGTTAAATTTTGCAACTTCTTAATTGTAGACTCATATTAGATGTTGGATATGTTCGGTCCCGTTTGATAACTACTTTGCATTTAGTTTTCACTGTTGATGCTTGAAGAAGGCTGGTGGAGGGTTTGGTTTTAGTTTTCACCGTTTGATAACTATTTCGTTTTTGTACCTGTATATTTCTTCTACGCCTGTCTGACCATCCTTCCTCCACTTATGTATATCCCTCCATATCTCTCGTTTCTTCCTTGCATTTCCCCTCCATCTCTAACACAAAATGAAAACGAAAGATAAAAACTAAAAGTGGAATTGTTATTAAAGGGGTCAGAAATTTCGAGTTTTTGTTATCTCTTTCCTTGACATTAGTCGTTAATGTCAGGCATAATAGAAGGAATAAATAGTATCTTTTAAATGATTGTTTGCTCCTCGGTCAATGTAATTTGTGAGTGTGCAAAAGACTGATGTATTTAATGGGTATGAAATTGAATTTTGAAAATCCATGAACCACATGAATCACTTGATGCTAACAACGAATAGGCGACTCTTCATCAATGAGCTTTTGTTTTGTTTCACATGGCCCGTCAGTCAGATGTATCTTCTATGATCTGTTCTGACCATCATTATTAATGGCTGGGAGTGAGAATTTATTTTTTAAGGCAACAATTTATTTTTGTTAATCACCTGAAGAGTTTCAGAAATGAACCGTGTGCATTGATTATCTTGAGAGCTATTGCTCTGTCTTCTGTTTATTTTTAGATTAACTTCTTCCATTTTTTTCTTTAGTAGATAAGTGCCTCGCAGACTTCAGTAGTGTAGACTTAATCACACTTTGAGTTCCCTTTTGATGTACTATGAATTTTATTAGGTCACTTATCTGTTTGTTTTCAGGGCTCAGCAAACGTACTACTACAGAAAAACTACACGAAGCCTTTTCTCAGTTTGGTGAAGTAGTTCATGGTGTGTAGTTATTCTGTACAATTGTTACTTTTACTTAATATTTTCTTTCGTTCATACTGATTACTGATTCTGTTCCGTTTACAGCTAGAGTGGTAACTGATCGGGTATCAGGATATTCTAAGGGATTTGGTTTTGTAAAGTATGCTACCTTAGAAGATGCTGCCAAAGGCATAGAGGGCATGGATGGAAAGGTCAGTTGATAGTATTCCTTGCATTGTTGGATATATTAGATACCACATGGTAAATTAGTACGAAAACACAATATTTCAGCAATTATCAGTATGGCGTCTCCCAACCCAACAAAAGGGTTCTCCTTATTTGTTGGGTGGTCTATTTCCTATATTGACATCTTGAACTTCAGAACTGTAAAAATGAAAGATGCTTAACAAGTTGAAACTCTTGCTTCTAAAAAATAGTTTGCCAACTCTTCATGAAAACATTAATTAAAGAAAATTCCTTTTGAAAATGTTTTCAGTTACTTCCCGCCGGCTCAAGGCAAACAGAATGCACTTACTTTGCTTCCATTCAGAAGGAAGCTCTATGACTGATATGAGCACAATATAAGGAATTTCCGGTCGGAACCCTGATGATTGCATGAACTTAACATTCCAAGCACTGAAGCAGTTTTAGCATATTTAGTTTTCTTTCAAAGACATCTATCCTAAAAACCCAATAAGTTTACTTTTTTCTGACTACGAAAATGGTCACTTCCTCTAGGATATATCAAATCTCAATCTGCAAGCTCCATATCTCCAATTTGGTTGCACGTTCATCCCCTAACCTGCAAACCACATGGTCTGGTGTCCAAAGATCATTAGCCACCATAATGTCACGTTGTCTAAACTCATAAGTGCAGGAAGCTTTTACGAGTGTGAAAATAAGTATTTCATAATACAGAGGTTATGGTTATTTAGTTATCATGCATTGAACAAAAAAATGTTATTGAGGCCTGTTTGGGAATTTACTTAAACTTTTAAGGCCCTTTAAACGCGAAAGTTTCCAAGTTTTGATATGACCCTTTCTCTGGCACTTGTTGTACACACTTATCTATCTTGGAACTGAAGTTTTTGTTTTGTTTGTGCATAGTTTCTCGATGGTTGGGTCATATTTGCTGAATACGCAAGACCAAGACAGCCGCCTCCACCACCTCAGATCAATATGGCTTCTCCATATAGCCGTTATTAAATCCTGTATCCAGGGCGAGAAAGCTTGTCAGGTTAATAATATTTATCAACAGCTGGAGTTTATTGATCATACTTCATTTTTTGGTTCGAGGTTGGGTGGTCTTCATTGCCTGCGATTTCTGAAATGAAGTGGAGATTGTCCTAATCTAAAGACAAGTCAAATGTAGTATAATTCGTAAGTTTTAATGTGGTCTGCAAGACCGTTTGCTTTTGTAAACCTGTTGCGAAATTTCTTCTGATAAATCATCTATTCTAAACCTAACTTTATTTTTTAATGACTTTGCTTGGTGGTTGTCTGGTATTGTGTTCTTTCGAAAAACTAATAATTAAGGTTCACCATCAGAGAGAGGTAGACGTTTAGGTATTGTTTGTATTTAATTTTAAATAAAAATTTTAAAATGATTTTTGATCGTATAATGAATGATGAATGGATATAATTAATTGATCTTCTAGATCCTCACAAAGAGAATCCAGGCTATGACCCTAGTTTGCCTCAATCCGAGGATGTTCGAGGCAGTGGGCCTGAGCAACTTTTTATTTTGGGAAATTGATTTCTCCTCTTTTGATTATCATCCAAGTTCTCTCTATTTCTCGCCATTGTGTTCTAGATTTCCATTGGCCCCAAATGAACCTCAAATCTCTGACCCATATTACAGATCTAGCCTTCAAGATTGTCTTTTGCTGTCAATTTGTCCGCCTTCGAATGAGAAGTCCAATTGAGCTATTGTGTCCATTGCTCACCTAGAGAACAAATCGTCATTCATTCAGTTTTAAGTGAGTGAAATCAAGGCATTGGGTTATGTGCGGAGCTTTGGCCCACCCCCTTCTTTCGTTCTGAATTCTTATCCTACTTCTTTGGTGTTGGAACTGTGTTGTTGCTGGTCTTTTGGCAATGGATATAGTTGTGAGGTTTGGTTGTTCTTTTCGGTTTGCAGGCTAATTGGTGATAATTTTCATGTTTGTTTTGTCTATTTTGATATTGTTGATATGTGGTATAGAATTGTTATTATTTGGGGTTTTTAAAGGTCTGTATATGGTATGATGTAGGGTGAACAACTGTTATTTTGTGGTGTGGAATTGGCGGTGTGGTTGGTCAACTACTTCTGGGTTCCAGGCAGTTGCGATGGGTCTTACCTAGGCTTTTAGGGTTTTCTCTACTAGCCACTTTTGGGTCTCTACTATTTAAGCCCTTATGGAGGGGTTTTTTTTATTTCTGGATTGCAACTTTTGCAATTGCTGTAAGAAAGAATTGATGAGTCAATATTATATTATATATTTTACCTTATTCTTAGTATAATTTGGTTATTATTTTAGTAGAATTTTGATACTTTGCTTTATATTTTCAATATAGGACATTCGACTTTCTCTAGAGCAAAACATGACCAAATAGATGAATTTTGGAGTGATTCAAATTGGAGGATGTTTGTGTGTTCCTTATTTTGTTCGTGTCAAAATTTCAGCAATCTATATAAAGCGGTTATTTTCTGGCGATTAAATAAAGGAGTCGTGTGCGTTGTTGAAAAGTGTCGTTTCTGGGCTTAAACTGCGTTTTTGGAGCCCAAGATGACCTTAGATGGGTTTGTGACCTTTTAGAGAAGTGTTCAGAAGTAGTCCAAACTTTAAATCCAGCTAGTTTGGCCCAATTTTGGAGTTGATATATTGGGGTTCCAAGTAGGGTATACTTTAGGAAAACCTAACATTTAAAGTATACATGTGTAATTCATAAGGAATTAGAAGAACTACATACGATTGTTAGGGTGACGGTGGAACCCTAGTGCTTTCCCAAATTTGTTTCTAAAAATCTTTTCTCTTTGATTTGTTTCCTTTTTAATTGGTTATTAGTTGCTTTCCCTAAACTATTTTTATTAAAATTCATTTTATTATTTTTAAATTCAAAATCAACCTTTTTCAATCTTTACTTTCAGTTAATTAACTAGGATTAGGGTTTTTCATAAATTGTTTTAAATAATGCCAGCGGAAAACGACCTTGCTTGAGCCGTTTACAACTAATTTTGCAAGTGGTAAAATCCTTATCAAGAACCATTACTCATGCTTTGTTTGCATAAGTGTCGTTTTCTTTCTGTGTATGCTGGTCCTTTCTAGGGGTACGTTCTTTGTAATTTGTCCGCTGGGACTTTGTTTATGAATTCTCTACATTTGACGAAAAAAAAAGGTTCACCAATTGTTATGTATCTTCAATTTATGCGACAGGTTTTGAGGTTCTCTGAACTTTAGGTTTATGCCTCGACAGGGTTTTGAGGCATCTGTGTAGAATTAATGTCTCGTCTAGTACATAGAAGTAGAACTAGTTGAATCGGTTTTAGTTCACTAGTTGAAATTTTGAGTTCGAGTTCAATCCTAAGGTTGGGGTCTCGCTATGATGCGAGCTGTTCATTGTTATTGGCCTTTCCATGGGTCCAACTATAAGTTATGTGGCTTCCATCGTCAGCTTTGTGCAATATCCGATTAGTGCTACTGATTGGCATTAAGCCTAAACTAGTACAGTAGTACTCAGTTCAGCGGAGGGTCCCCATTGTCTTCCCCATCGACGCCAAGTCCTCAGCCTCATTATAATTGTTGCCGTTAGTCCCAAGTCGGTAAATTAAGCAAGAATGGTCCCTCTTCTCGTGTTTCTCTTCGATGCCAAGTTGCTTAATTAGGCCATCCAAACCATCTTAGCTCCCGTCAAGGCGGCTTTTCCTTGCCTCGTTGAGATCATCTGGTATGTTGCGATTGGTCGACCTGGATTATCCGAAACCAATCCTTTTCCAGTTGCAAGTTGTTGGGTAATTGTTGTAGAGTTAAACAAAATCTTTGCTTGCTTAGTCTTCTTTCAGTGTCATATTATGTATGATCTGGCACTTTTGTAAGTTTTGTGTGTTTTGGTAGATGCATACACATGGTGGCTATAAATGCAGTTGAATTTAACAAGAATAATACAAACCCTGATTCTGATAGCTGCTCCTGCCATTAACTACACCAGGGCAGGTGTGGCCTGAGTCAGCCAATAGCATTCACACAATTTCGTGAAATGGCCAAATGGCCGTCGAGCACCGCCTTGTCATTGAAGCAACTCGAGAAAAATTGTGACAGTGAAGGTGACCAGACATCCGATATTTCCAAGTTAATGCCTCGTCATCGAATTAGGACAAACAATCGTTTTTTTTGGTTGGATGGAACTTATTGGTGGAATAAGAAGACGACAGTATTAGATGCGTCTTCGTTTCTCAGCTGCTATGTAGCAAGCATTTTTCGGGACAACTGGCCCTGTCAGATTTAGTGAATATTTGGGCAGAAAGAAAGAATTTTCTAGTAGAAAGTTGGAAATAAATATATGAAGTCTTAAGAGCCAACTAGAAGATACCCTTTTCGTTTGCTAGAATCAGAAGGTGGAAATGAATTTGGATTGCTGAGAAAGGTGCATATTGTACAACCTTTTATGTGGCTCGAGAAACCTTTCATTAGTCACTTGCATTGTGACAGATTATTGTTAACTGATATGAGTCTCATAGATGAAACTTATAATACTATTGCACGATTGTGTATAACAAAGCTTGATAAATCAAAATATTATACATTCTGTTATATTTCATATAATTATAGGAGATGAGGGTTTTCAGATACAGAACTAAACTTCTTTTAACATTGAGAAGAAAAGTATCGCTGAACTTAAGTCATACGGCGATTAGGTCTATGAAATACAAGACCTATTAAAAATAACTGATTAGGCATTTCGATAAATAACAAGTTTAATATGGCACGTTTTGTTGATTGAGTCAAGTTGTTAATAATATACCCAAAATGGGTAGTATATTTGTTAGTTTGTAGTGGATGGACCAAAGGTAGTCCACCGAGTTCTTTATCGCCGCAGGCAAAGCGCTGCGAGTAACCTTTTGTCATGTGGCAATCCGACGTCAAAGATTATGACCCATCTATTGAAAGTAAGACTGAATTATGTGTTATAATTTACAAGGGTTTAAGAATTTGTTGAAAAAATGACAATAATCAAATGGTGCTTCTGGGATAATAGGGCATTTCACTATTTTTGGATAAGCATGCCCCTCGATTGACATCAATTAATTAATTTGCTGGACACTTCACCATTACATCTTTATTTCTAGTTGAAATGGAACTATAGGTTTGACGCAGGCAGAACAAATATGGCCCCCTCTCTCCCTTTCTTTAGGGCATGTTTAATGCTTTTTTATTTATTTAGGTTTTGGTAGTTATGCATTTAGTAATATTGCTTGTAGAAGCACTCTAAATATTTCTTTAGGGGTGTGCTATCCACACACCTCATTTTACTTCTCACACACCTTTGATAATTTACGTTCGTTGATATTCTTCAATTCATTCGATCCGACGGTTAAAAATTAAAAAGGTGTGTGAGAAGTAAAATGGGGTGTGTGGATATCACACCCCTTTCTTTAATTTTTGAACAAGGCCATTAGAACAGTAAGTGATGATTAATCTGGTCGATATGGTTTCCTTCTTCAACTTATTGCATTTTAAATTCAAAATTCTTTCTCATAGTGTAGCATGCTATAGTGGGAATGACAATTTTAACCGTTAAACTCAATGACCATGGATAACCGTCCGAATAGAATGGATTTGGGTATATGTTGGATATGAGGAAAAACTGTGAATATTATTCTGTTATGATTTTGGAAATGGTTATAGAGATCCTCGATTCGTATCTATATCCGGATCCAATCCGAATAATAAATAATATAATTTATATATAATACACATATATTTGCACACTCATTATTCACTGAATTCATTACCTTGAGAATATAAAAGTTGCATTTGTGGGAAAGTTCAAAAGTTTTGATTCAAAATCAATGTTAATATATCCTAAATTATAATGCGTCAACTGAGCAAATATATTTTGTGTACTAATGAAGATGGATATAACCGTTAACTGATGGGAATCCATTACCCAGTGGGTAATCGATGGTTAATTTACGGTTATGAATATGGTTAATTTTCATGGTTATGGGAATGAATATAGTATTTTGTTTTCAAACCAAACTACTGCCATTCCTATGCTATAGTAATATCTATTGTATAAAAAATTGGTGCCATGAGAAGCATCGTATATTTTGTCATGTTGGAACATAGAGAGGTTTTGCACCAAAAGAGAAAGGTCATATGGGTGAGTTGATTAATGTCAATGAAGGAAAGAAATTAAGTCGCCAAAGTTATATTATTGATTTATTAGCTCATAACATGACTTACTACCCACCACGAGTCCAGGACTGCGAACCACATCAAAGCAAATTACATATCAACCAAACACTAAGTTACACTTATTTTGCATAAGAAAAGTGGCATTTACAAGTCGCATTCACATTCCAAATATGCAAAATTTAATAAATTGAAAGGCTGACGTGATGGAACCTTTAAAAAATCGCAGGTAACGATTATGTGTGCTTATTAAAAAAATAAAAAAAAATTCATGTTTTGCGATGTTGTTTGTAAATAATTACGTGAAGTATTATACTTCGTGTCATTTAAGAAGGCATGTGCTTTTTAACATGAAAAATCTTTTACATGCTATTATATTATTGATATGACGTACTTTTTAAGATGAAGAAATGAATAACTGCACATAGTAATTTTATATCTTTATTTTTTAGATGTGGGAAGGTATGGAATGTCCAGAATCATTCGTCTTTCATTTTTTATTATTAATAAATACAAAATTAAAAATGATACGTATTTCTTTCCATCGCAAGACATGCCCTTGATCCTAACAAACCCAACCCACCCAACATGGAAACTCCCCTTTATGCCAATTTTTTCTGTCCCTTGCACACCCCTACCAGCTACCACCTGCGCTGTAAAATACTTTTTACTTACATTTCCTACCCATTAACAAAAAAATATTTTATAATTAAGAAGTAGATTTGAATTGATATGGATCACAATCATGGGGCTCTATGTGTTTTCAATACTTCCTCTTTCCACAATATTTTATTAGAAACAAATCATGTAGCCCCCGAACATCTTGAAATTTATTTTCCCACCAGAGTTTTATAAAACATGATCAAATTGAAAATGTCATATTTTCTGTATAGGCGGCGTCGTCATAGAGATGCACTACACTCTACACACCCTGTTATTCCCTATTAATTAAGTATCATCGGAATTAAGAGAAAGACCGTATATGAAACAGCTTCATTTTTAATAATATATCATCATTCAATAATAAAATATACGTAAGATTTTCTTTAAATGATTTTTAATTATTGAATTAGAATGCTACTTGGAGGCATGCCAGTGAATCCGTTCAATGCAAATTACTTTATTGGAAACAAGGGTATTTCGCCAAAAGAATAAGGTCATATGGTTGAGTTGATTATGTCAAGGAAGGAAAGAAATTAAGTCGTCAAAATTATATATATTTTTGAGAAAACCAAAATTATATATTGATTTATTAGCTCATAACTTGACTTACTGCCCACCACGAGTGCCGGACTGATCAAGGCAAATTACAAATCAACCTAATATTAACTGACACATTTTGAATAAGAAAAGTGGCACTTACAAGTCACTTTTTCATTCCAAATATACGAAATTTAATAAATATATATGTTCATGTTGTTTGTAAGTAATTGTATGAAGTATTTAAAAGGTTCATTACATGTATATAAATATATGTGTTGTGTCATTTAAAAATAAACACGTCTTTTAACTTGGAAAAATCTTTCACATGTTATTATGTTAATTGATTTGCCGTGCCTTTTAATATGGAGAATTTGAATATGAAATAAACAACTGCTCATAGTAATTTCATTGATTTTTCAGGTACAAGAGCTCCCCTATTCGATACTTCAAGTTGGTGAGTTTGCTTGACTGTGCTTATATGCAAGGTGAAATTTCCCATAACCTCCGGTTCCAGAAAGAGGTGGATTATAGTGGCTTGTCACTAGTTGTCCATTTTTTTTTTTTAAAAAAATAAGAAGAAGTATGAGATGTCCAAAACCACTCATTTTTTTCTTTCTTTAATTGTTAATTAGGCTTTGACCAAAAAAAAAAAATTGTTAATTAGGCTGCTAATTTATGGCTTACCTGATCTTCTTTTTTAAAAATATCGATGTATTAAAAAGTAAAATAAAAATAAAAATAACAATAATACTCATTTCTTACAAAATGGGTCATCGTAAAACATGCCCTTAGTCCTAGCAAACCCAACCCTCCCAACATGGAAACTCCTTTTTATGAGAGATTTTTCAATGTGATTAGAATATTATGTGTTACTATATAAATAGTAGAATATATGTGCTAAAAATTTAATAACTTAAAAAATAAAATTTCAAACCATTTATATAAAAACATTTGATGTGTCATCTGTGCTCCAATCACAATGAAACGTTTCTTCCTTTTATGCCACCTGCGCTATGAAATACGATTTTACTTACATTTTCTACCCATTAAAAAATTATTTTGTAATTAAGAAGTAGATTTGAATTGATATGGATCAAAATCATGGGGCTCTATGTATTGTACCTTGCTTCTCTGTCTTCCACCCTTCCATTTTTTTTTATTTCTACGGTCACGGTTAAATTACGTCAACATTTTATATCATTATTACTTTTTATCTTATTATCCTTATAAAAAAAAAAAAATATTAACGTAACTTAATCGTGACGTCACAAAATAAAAGAGAATTGAAATGTTTGAAAACTGACTGGAGGCTTCCTCTTTCCACAATCATCTATTGCGAATTTTTTTTAACACCAGAATTTGGATAAAACCCTACATATCCTTCCAAATCAAAAGCATTATAAAATCCTCGCTCTCCCACCAAAACCAGAGGAGAGCCAGGAACAAAGTACACTCTCCAAACCCTTCTGTCTCTTCAGCCTGAAACCCAAATAACCATGACGGAAGTGAGATCCCGCCGATGTCACAAACCGTAAACCTCAACAATTCCGAGCCCCTCTTTCACACAATTCTCAGGTAACGCACATCGACATCGTAACAGCAAAATTGCGCCATGAAGTTCTTGTTGGAGTTTGTCCCGTGCTGCGGGGCCACTCGCCCCACAACATCCAACAGCGAGCCCGCTCCGCTCTCAGAGGAGACGAGATCGCTGGTGAGGGCGCCCAGCCGAATACTACGCCGCAGAAGAAAGCGCGGGAGCTCTGTAAATTCGTCCGATTGGACGCCGTCGCTGAGCTCAATTTCCGAGGATAACGTTGCTGCGAAGGTGGTGGATCGAACAGCTGCGATTGAGAGAGCCGTGAAAAGGAAGAGCGGTCAGGATCGAACAAGAGTTCAGGTCCGCAGCCACGGCGAAGATTACGGGTACGTAAATACTAAAAATATAGTAAATAGCAAAATAGTAAAATCTTCGGATGTTTTGCTTTCCTGGGACGACGACGTCGTTTTAGTTGTGTTTGTTTTGCCATTAGGAAAATGTTAACCACACCCCCATTTTTCCCATATACTTGCACTCTTTGTTTCAGATAATGAGATTTAATAAAGTTTTATTTTATTTTATTTTATTTTATTTATCTTTAATCATTGAAAAAGATTGAAATTTAATAAATTAAATTAATTATCACTTCCGTTATTATTGGTTGTAAAATTGATTAGTTACATTTTGTATGGGATTTTTTTTTTCCAGGGAAGCTTCATTTGCGATTCCGGCGTTCTCTCCGACGCCTTTTATGTTTTGAAATCATGGGATGAAACTTGCATTAACAGACGGTTATTCACGTTCGAAACTGGGTTGGGATCATGAAGCGAGTGTGTGTGTGTATATATGAAATTAGGAAAATATATAACAATTAAAGAGCCTTCTTGTATTGTACCATTGTACTCGAATAGTGCATTTGTATATTTTCCATTTATTTATTCAGATTTCCCTATTGTTCATCCAACTTGCATTTGGTTTATGTTTCATAATTTAATGATAGACTGGAAATTAAGTTTAATTGGAAATTGTTCTATTTTTAATTTTAATAAACACTTTTGAGTTTATTTATTTATTTAGCTTAATTGAAAATATCTTAACAATTATAATAATACATGACATTTTTAAAATCCAAAACAACGTGGACCATGGCGTGACATTTTTTCTCACCTAATAATTTTAGTGGAATTGCAGATGTGTACAGTGTATGTATCAACGTAAACTAGAGCAGAGCTTGATCTCCTTTTGTACTTAAATTTGAATTCTTCTTCTCACAAATCAATTTAGGGTAGATAATATTGCTCGAAAGAAAACAATTTTAATCTAAAATTATCTCTTCAAAAGTAAAAAAATCTGAAATTCAAATCCAACGATAACAAAAGAAAAATCAACATTTCAAATTTCACGAAAAAAGAAGAGAATCCAAAATTTAATACAGAACTTTCGAACATTCTTGAAACAAGGTTTCCTATATCACATCACTACTTAGTCTGTCCAAGGTGTATGCTATTAGGAGTTGATGCAGAACCCCAGATGTTCATACAATCATACATGGTAAACTGTTGGATATCATTCCATCATGGACCGGCAATACTGGTTTACATTTAACGTAGAAAGTGTAAAGCAGGATTAGAAGTATCGTTTCAATTTCCATTGAGCCTGCAAGACTAGAGATAAATAAGCTGAGCAGCAGTAGATCGCAAATGAATCACCAACTTAACAGAGTGACTCATAGTCTAGTGCGTAATCTAGTTCATTAGGTTTTCTGTTGACTAAAATTTGGAGGGATTCATATTTTTGCCACAAGGATTGGGAGAGTCTAATAGACGGATCGATGATGGTCAAGCCCAATCATAGTAAACATTTATAATTGTCAACTACTAGCTAAAAGAGCTTCACCCCAAAAACAACAAAAAGGCACATGAATCTTACAGACTTACTCTAATCAAGAAGTGACAAATTCACACACTCAGGCAAGCACCCTCCTTATCCTCCATCCCAGCCATTGTATCATACAAAGGCTTATTCAACGTCTCCGGCAAATAAAATGCAAACATTCCACCCACAACCCCACACACGGCAAACACTGAAAATGGCAAACCCCCGCCCAAAACCACCACAAACGGGGCCAAAATCGCCCCCATTTGTGCGGCTTGTGTGGCACATCCAAGCGCTGCATTCCTCACCACAGTTGGAAACAACTCCATGGTGTAAATAAAAAGCAAATTGTAAGTCCCTGCCATCCCAAAAATCCCCAAAATCCCGCACACCATCCTAACAACTTTCCACATCCCAACATTCCCCACCAAGCTCCCAGCAAAACAAAACACCCCACTAAACCATAACGTCCCAATTGCTAATGGCTTCCTTCCATACTTGTCTAGTAAGATTGCTGTGATTGTGAAGGCTGGCATTTCCGCCACAGCGTTGAGTAACACATTGATATAGAGGTTGGTTTCGAGGTTGACAACGTTCAAGCTCAAACCATAGTACACGACCGAGCACAAGAAATTTATGGCCACAGCTAGGAATAACCGGATTCGGGTAACTGGTGACTTTATCACATCAATTAGAGAACCACTTATTGCTTCTTTGCTCTCCAATAGTTCCTTGTACGTTTGGTCATCCTCATTTGTAGTAGTAGTATCATTGCTTGCTTCTTCATCTAGGGTTAGGACAACTCCCTCAGGAAGGTGGTTCTTGTTGGACTTTGCAATCGTGCGCATTAGTTTCATGGCTTCCAATATTCTTCCTCGTACGAGGTACCACCTTGGGGACTCAGAGACAAATGGTAGGACAATGAGCAAGAAGAGCAATGATGGGATTGAGGAGGCAATGTAGAGTTCGCGCCATTGTGGGAAAATATACGCAACGCAAGAGAGGATTGCAATCCCGGTTGAGAAGAAGTAGAATGTGGACATTCCTGCTGCACCACGCTTTGTAGGACCGACAGGTTCAGTAGCAAGGACGAAGGCGCAGAGGCCGACCCCCCCTGTGCTGAAGCCGGTGAGAAGGCGGAAGAGGACGTGGGTCCAGTAGTTTGGGGAGAGTGCTGTTAGACAACCGAAGATGGTGTTCAAGATGCAAACAACGGTTAGGGAGCCTTTTCTTCCTAAAAACGAGTCTGACAAATGCCCAAAAACTCCCGCACCTGAAATGAATGTATGATATAAATATTAATCTTAGTAGTCAGTTAAAATATAATTGGGAAAAGAGAGTTTATTGTACGGCGTTAATTTATAATATTTAGTACATTGTCTAAATTTTACTAAATTTGGTAATATCGGCATAATTAATATCAACAATGTACCAAATGCTATATATATACAGCCAAATCACCATTTACGTACACAAGTAGTAGAACAGTATCAAATCTGAAGAAAGAACAAAAGGAGAAAAAGAATATGCAGCAAGTATTTAGCTATATAATGAAATTTGGCCCTATTACAGAACATGGATTGGGAAAATGGTAGAAGGCATGTTGTAGTTTGGCCCAATCTTCCTAGTGATTTTTGTCAAAAAGGGCACTAACCAAATTTTCCTCTATCAATTTGGTTGCTCTTCTTCTTCATTTTATTTTTACTTTTTTAATACAACGATATATTTATACTAAAAGATGAAAAATTGTGCTAAATCACAAAACGAGCTTTTCATAATAATTTAGTGTCAAATTCATCATCTACCGAATCAAACCTATGATCTTTTACCCGTCGAGGGCTAACGGCCTGCTGCTAGGATATTGCATGCATGCGTTTTGTTTCGATTGAATGATAGTTCAATCTACTGTCTAATCCAAAAAAAAATAAGAAAAAAAAAAAGCAAAAATGAATATATATGAATGTTATTCAATACCATGGTGGTTGAGTAACATTTTACTTTTTATTTTAAATTTCTGAAACTGATTATAATTAAATTGTGCATTTGCAGGCTTCATTGGTATGAAATCATCTTTAACTCAACCATGTAAACCCGTTTATCACCTCTTACTTTTGTTGCATATGAATTAGCCAGTTAATCAAGATAAAGGACAGTGTGCTCTCGTCTTTACCCTTAAGTTCTAATATTTTCTCTGTAAATTAAAATATATTGTTTTGTTAGAGAGGACAAGATAAATTAAGGTCAAATTATTAGTATTTGTATTCTGTTTTGGCTAGGTTAAAAGGTAAACTAATGTGGGACATAATCATTCAAAACTAGAGTTTAGTAGTTAAAAGCCAAAGAAGTACTCTTGAGTAAGCATGAACGGATATGCTTGTTGTTGCATTGGGCCCTCGGCCCATTGATCTAAAAAATTCAACATGGTATCATAACCAAGGAATGAGCTGGTACTGCTACATGATTGGGTGGGTTCCTTTTGGCCCTGCGCAATGTTCACGTAGGCCAAAGATGCCACTTGATTGGGTGGGTTCCCATTTGGCCTCGTGCGATGGGTGAGCTCCCACTCGCTCCATGTGGTTACTGATGTGGATTTCTACATGTGACCCATAAAATGGGGTCTCACGTGTGGGGGAGATAAGAGTACTTTAAATAGAATTACCTCACTTTAACGAACACCGAAATCTTTTGTAATAAAACTCCACATCTAAAGATTGGACAGATGATAAAATAGAAACAGTATCGAAGTTGTTGGAGGGACCCTCAGCCAATTGACCTAAAAAATTCAACAATGCATTCCATAAAGCCTGCATTTGGATGTGCCCCTTTATGTGGAAAAGTCTGAAATTGGTCCAGAACATTTGAGTTCACTTTATGAAAAGAACGATCGACAGCATCTCCACTGTTTTTCAGTGTTTTTGCTTCTTATCTTCGCTACTTTTAGTAAAGTGGCATCTTCTCGCTCTTTTTTTAGGTGAAAGAAGTGGATCTCTCTCTAGTTTGTCAGATTTAGATAAAGGTTAAATGGCACCGTACATGTTTTATCATGTGAGTAGGCCCCATGTAAAATTGTCTACAAATTTTTCAAGTGTTTACGTCTTAAGTGATGTTATTCGTTTATTTTTACCTTTTACAAGTTAAGTTATTCTTAATTTTTGACTGTTAGAACAAATATTATGGAAGTTTTTTGTAACAAAACTTAACACTTAAAAATAAGTTATAAAGTTAATATTAATATCGGTGTCTATAGTGAACTATGATGGATCTAAAAGTTACGAACATGAATTCATCTAATCGTACAAAAAGAAAAAAAGAAACTCGAACTCAAGTGCATGTTCTAATCAACATGGGACTGCAATTTTCATATGTTTTGTTATGAAGATAAAGAATGAGGGAAAATTGAACGTAACCTTTTCTGTTATATAAAATGATATATAGCAAGCTAAACGAGAAGAACACGTCAGACCATAGACCTGTTCCATATAAATTTACGAAATGGACAAAAATGACACCCATATTATCACGCCGATGAAACCCAACAAACAAACTGAAGCGATCTTGATTTCTTAAATTTGCATGCGGACACGGGAGCCGCATCCGCAACCGCATATTTTGACTCCACGCTTAATTTCACGCTATCGTGTCAGTACCTTAGATTGTTCCTCTCCAAATTCCAAATATTAATTTGTTTGTTTTACGGTCTGGTTTAACCTATGTTATATGTTTTATTTACCACTAGTATGTATCTTTATAATTTATATATATTTTACTGCTTTCTGGCAGGCATATTCTGCCAGCTGCTAGTGATAATGATGACAATATAAGTATAAGACTTTCTGTTATCTTATAATTTAAAATTATTTTTTGTTTTAATATAATAAAATATAATGCCAAGATGACAGAAAGTTCATGAAAAGTCTTGTTTTGGAGAAACTCTTCTTAGCATTTATCTAACTAGTATAATCTCGACATATTAATCTAATAAACACAAGTGGTACATCACATATTATTATATAAGTAAAGAAATTTTTTTCTTTTTATGTTATTCATATTTTAATACGAGAATTTCACCACTTGTATAAAAATACCTATCTTTCGATCATATTAAAAAAATTTCTTCTCTATTTCTATCCGTAAGGGAATCCAAATCCATGGTGCATCCGTAACTTTCTAAACTACCATTTTGCAATCAAGAAGAGTCCATAACGAATTTTTCAGCAAGGTAATAATTAAGTGGTTTATGCATTTTTTTTTTAAGGAAAACAAACGAAAAATTTAAATTTTTTTTAGTTTTAACGAAAAAAGATCAATAAAAAAAAGTGTAGTGAATAGTATTAGGGAAATGTAAAAATATGATTTTTCGTTAAAAGTGAACAGTATTTCGTTAAAACTTTTTTTTTTTTTTTAATACAAAGAATATTTTACAAAGTAAGAGTGGGGTAATTGGACCAAGTCATACAGGTAGTCATAACAATTTGACTTATCTGTTAGGTTAAAGTTTTAAATATTATCAAAGGTATAAACTACTTGAACAAAACAAATAGTTATAAACTGCTTTATTATCGCCATTACAAAACCAATTAAACAAATATCTCATTTTCTCCCAGAAATCCACAAGTGGAAAAAACCTAAACTATCTTCTAAAACTAGTCAAGACAGATCATACCATGTGCTGCAATTGCTTAATCATTGAAAAATGTCTGCATGCAGATGTATTAAAAATTAAACTATTTGGACGATATTTGTAGTTCTTAACGTTGATTGTATCTTCCTAAATCATGAATCTTAGTTTTATAACAGACGAAAACGCTGAGGATGGAAAGTAAAATTAAGACGGAAAAAAAATGTGTATTGCATTTGTGTGCTTGTTATCTCTGCACTGCAAACATCTTATCATCCACAAATTCGCTATCAAACAAGTTGTTCCGAAAACGTAATTAAACCTTCACCGTTGCTTCTAGTTTATCTTATATGTTATATCTTCTCGTGTTTTGATTTAATAATTATAAACTAACAAAGCAATAGATAAACTTGGGGGGGAGAGGAAGAGTAGGATAACTGACCAATCATACAGCCGCCGAAGAACAAGGCCTGCGCCAACCCAACCTTATACTTCTCCTCGCAAACCAACCCCCATTCAGCAACGGTCGAGCTTCCTAGACCGCCGATCCACTCCCACGAACCCGGTTTGAGTCCACAAACGGTCTTCGCCCTGGCATCGCAACCCGAACCAGCTGCTCCATCCAAGCACCGCCAAGCCGGTTCACGGTCCGCAAATATCATGACCATGGTGTGGAATGCCTCCAGAGCCCAAGCCAAGCTGGTCAGCACAAAGTGCTTCATTTGGTACGGACCAAACTCCCCGCAATACTTTTGTAACATGTCGTCGATGCATAGCTTCTCTGATTCAGTCTCTCCGACGGCTTTATTCGCATTGGAGAGCAGAGGCGACCGGAGCTCGTCAGGGCTCTGATCACCTCCCGAATCAGATGACGATGATGACGAGCTGGTGGGCATGTTATAAATTGGCCTAATTAATTTCTTATGTAAGAGGTGGTGGTGGCGGCGTCTCCCATGTCGAAGGTTTTAGGAGGTGGTGGCTAAATTGCCATGTATTCGTATATATATGCGCTTGTGTTTCCCTTTTCACTAGAAGCGTGATGCTTTTGGCTTGACACGTGGATGGAGCTCCAGCCGTTGATTTGTTGGATCATGGTCTTTGACTCGCATAGGTATTATTTAGAGAAGTATATACATTATATAGGTAGACTGTGATTCAGACGTTTCGTACGAATTATATAATGTCACGTGAAGATAAACTTGAACATATATATTATTATCGCAACACGGTCATTATAATGGCGCAAGTGTCTCTCTTAGGTAGGGACTTAGGGGCGGCCTGTGAAGATTACGGAATGTTTTTGGGATCTCTTTCCTTTGCATTACCCCATTTTTCATGAAAGTAATAACTATTCTTTTGTTCTTCGTCATTCAATATCTCAAGGACAGAGGTGGGTCTGGGTAAGAAAGGGCTTTAAACTCTCACTGGGATTCCTCTACAATTTAGTCCCAAACCTAATACGTTGATTCGATCATTCATAAGTCGTTTGCTTATTTTATACGAGATCTTGACGCCGACGGAGACGAATAATTAAACGGTTTTAAATACTTGTCACAAAGTCTTTGAAAAATTGCTAGAAATAATTAGTGCTGATAGCCTGCCAAAAGCGTGGGAGGGCTTGGGCCTTTGATCACTGTTGGATCCATTGAACTTGGTGGGATTAACCAGTCTAACGGAAATTATATTATATATGCTAAAATTCAAACATTCAAGTTCATTTCTGCCTCTTAAGTGCTTTCACTGACTCTCTGGCACTACTTCTGATGTACACGTGCTGTAGGTGTACGCGTGTTGGTAATCGTGGGGATGGCAGAAGACCAGTCCGTTTCCATTTGCTTCCAGAAACGACTAGCGCTCTCGTCGAAAACACGAACCCAGCTCGAGTTCTATCCCTGGTTTTTTTCTTCTCTGGGTTATCTGTGTTTGTTGTCACTTTTCGACAGCGTTTCTCCACTCTTTTCCTTTATTATGTTTTCTCTGAACCAAAGAACGACGGAAGGGAAATGAACTCAGATCAATTCAAGTCCAATCCGACGCATTCATGCAATGCAACCAAAGATCAGTGCCTTCTTCAAACCCTCATCCTCCTCCTCTTCTTCTTCACCCAAACCAGCAGCTTCACCTCCGGTTGTTACTGATGGAAACAACGACGAATTGACCGACTGGAAAAAGACGCATCACCAATACTGTAACACCTGCAAAGGCATTCTTTTTATTTTTTTTCATTATTTTGTTTCTGGGTTCGCTTCAATTAAGAGAACTAGGAAATGCGTTTAGTGTGAATTTAAATTCTGGGATGCCCCTTGCAGAAAATTTCAATTTTTATTGTTTCACTGACCCCTTTTTTATTTGTTGGATTTTGTTTCCCTTCCAATCTTTTCTTTGCGTACTAAATTAGTGGAAGGGACAAAAGTTCAGTTCACCAATTGCTGGTGAAACCCTTTTCGGACGATAATTCTGAGAAGCCGGAATGGACCACATTGGGAACAACAGTGATCAAGAACAAGAAGAGATACTATGCTCAGTTCTATTTAGACTTTGGTCAGTTTGATTTCAATGTGACGTTTAGAATGATTTTGAGAATATTTGACTCATTTTGTGATTTAATCATGTATGATTGTCGAATTCTGATTTCTTATTTTTCAGTGTTCCCCTGTTATTTACTGTCAAGTATTATTCGGGGATTAATTCAAACTTGGGACTATATAGGATAAAAATACACTAGATTTAGTGAAAATACTATTTTCATCATGAAAATAACGAGATAGTGAATATATTTTAACAAAGTTTCAAAGTAATCCGACAAATTGAGGAAATATCCTATTCCATTGCTTACTAGATTTTACAAGTAAATATCGTGAATGTTCATGTTGTGTCTCTATTATATATGTATACAGTGTTTACAACCCATATATATTGTTTACAACCTTACTATCCCTATTCAATGTTAAGTGAACTGTTGTAGGGCGATTATAGTCTTTGCCCTGGTGGTTGTGTTTTAGATGAACTTTGTTTTGGCTGTTTTAGTCTACACCTTTGTTCAATGGTGTAGGAAGAATATGACTCAACTTCTATATCAGATTATTTGTTTCGAAAGCTTGCCAAGATAGATGAGTCTAATGTGGCTGAATTACCCCCTTTAGACAGTGTTAGTTGCCCTTTGTCTTTCTTTATTTTCTTGATATCACATTATGAAGCAGTTGCAGCAATATATGGCAGAAGACGATGGCTAAATTATTCTGAGTTTTTGGTACTTTCCGTTGATCTGCTTCCAAAAAAACACTGAAGAGACTGGTTGCTTTGAGGATGATGTGAGTGTCAGATGTGATTTTCTTAATTTTTTTATTCATTCACTTTAATGCATTGAACGAGGAGATTTGCCGAAAGAGGTAACAGACAAGGTAAGCAATCAAAGTTCTAAGCAATCGATCTTAAATTGGAAGTTTTGTGTTCGGGTTATGGCTGATTGTTCTCCTTCTTCTTGTCTTGCTGACCGCAATAAGGACAAAGAAAAGGACATGGAGAAGAGATGATATGAGATATTTTTGCTTGAAAAAGTAACAGATGAATAGGCACGTGTTGTTGTACTTGTTGACTTTTCACAGGCTTATTCTTGAACTGGGCTGGAGGGTTTTCCGGTTTCCTCCAAAGGAGTGAGCCGACTTAAGAATTTGAGGGTCAAAACTAGTCTATCAAATATGGAGTACGTTCAATTCTGATGATATGGGATACTTTTGCTGTTGACAAAGTAGTGGATGTGGTATGGCGGGGCTTTGTTCTTTGGCGACGGTGCTAGCAAAAGACTGTTGAAGCTTCTCGATCTCTTTAATTAGAGCAACAATTCTGGGCTTGGATTTGACTTAGATTCCTCCATTTGGATTGTGCGGTTTTACAGAAAGGGCATCGTGCTGTAGTGATCTGTTCTAGCTCATCGTTGAATCTTCTGCTTCAATATTTTTTATAGCAGAAGTGGTGCACAACTTTTGCATTTAAATGGTCATTCAGAGCACTACTTCTCAGCAACTCATCCATGCTTGGCGGCTTCAGTATAAAGAGCCAATATCGTACCAACTGTTTTGAGGTATTTACCAAAGGAATTCATGACCTTGACAGAAGTTGAGAATGAGTACTCGAGAGCAATGCTAGGCAAGTAACCATGCAAAGGTTCCGGGCAATCAGTTCTAGATCGGAAGTTTGATTTCAGGTTCTGACTGATTGCTTCTTTTCTCCTTGTCTTGCATATAAAAGCAAGGGCAAATGAAAAGACAGGGAAAAAGCATGATATGGGATACTTTTGCTTTTGACCCTGATGATATGAGATACTCTTGCTCTGGCGTGACTTGTTTGTAAAAGTATTATCCAAGGGGGAAGAAAGCTGAGTATTTCGAGAAACTTCGTTGGGAGTGCCCTCTCGGATGTGAGGAAGAGTTAAGCATTTTTTTTGGGCAGATCTGCCTAGCTGTGGAGGATGGAAGTCGACATATATATAAATTGTCCCAACAGTGAGTAGTAATACTGTTCCTTTACCCTTCTCGATCAGAACAATGTAGTGGGAGCTGCAAGGTTCACATGTTTTAATTTTGTCAGAGACATTTGACAAAGTGGTTCATGTTACTTGGAAAACTGATGCTATGAGTGAAAATCGTGGAGAATTTTTATCCAAGAAAATTCGGCTCTCGAGGTTCGGAAAGCGGTGCTCCTTCGATTTCGAAACAAACAATCTAGCTGGGATTCGGTTTTTGAGATTTGGAGAACGTGCCTCTTCGATTTTTGAGCAAGCAATCTTGTTGGGGATTTGGTTCTCGAGATTCGGAAAACAGTGGCTCTTCGATTTCTGAGCAAACAATCTTGTTGGGAGTGCTTTATTGGATGTGAGGAAAGGTTAGACATTATTGCAAGTTTGCTTTGTCACGGAGCACAAAGGTTGACACACATAGGGATTTTTCAGGTATCAAGCAGTGGTGCTGTTCCTTTACTCTTGTGGGTAATAGTAAGGTAGCTGGACCTTCAAAATTTATGTGTCTTAACTTCGTCAGAGTTCTTTGGCAAAGTTATCCTTGGTATCCGAGGAACTGATGTTGCGTGTGAAGATTGCTAATAAATTTTAGTCAGGAAAATCTACTTTTCGAAATTCGGAGAGTGGTGCCTTTTTTATTTTTGAACAAACGGCCCTGTTATCTTTTCTTTTATAAAGGCACCAATTGTGTTCATGAAGTACGTTCAGAGAGTTCAGAAAGTTACTGCTTATAGGAATTCATCCCTGATTTTCGTACTTCTGGCATTAATTGTACCTATTTTTCCTTCATTATTTCTGAAAATGTCTGGCCTGTCCAACCGTCGTTTGGACTTGAATGCTGTGGAAGAGGTAGCTATGTCTCATTAAGATAACATATGGCGCCTATCTTTCTTATCTCTTATTGGTCACCTTACTATTGGGGACTCTGATGATGACGAATGACATGATCGCTACGGTGGTGGTCAAGAATCTTCTCACTTCCAAAGACAACAGACTACTTTCCAAATAGTCTGATGAGTTAGCTGTTAAGGATTCTCTGGTTCTCAGTGCTCAATGTGCAGGTTCAGTGTCTAATATGACTCAATGCCTATTTGCTCGAACCCGCCTAGTTGAATCGTTGGTGGCTAAAATGATAAGTCTCAAAAGGGAGATCAAAAGACTTAAGCACGAGAATAAACAGTTGCACAGACTCGAACATAGCTATGCTACAAACATGAAGAGAAAGCTTGACTAGTTACAGGAATCCGAGGGTCAGATTTTAAGTGATCATCAGAGGTTTGTGAGTTTGTTCAAAAGGCATTTATTGCATTTGTCCTCTGGGGCTGTACCACGTACCGAAGTTCCAAATGATCAACTTTCGGTGTCTCCTCTTTCTGGGGTTCTTCCCAGTATTGAGGCTCAAAATGATCACCCTCCGTTGCCTTTTATTTCTGAGGCTTTGCCGAGTGCTGAGACTTCTCAT